CAGTGGCAGCACTCCACTTCACAAGCAATAGTCAAGCTCGGACGCACTCAACCTGGCCGTGATGGTATGAACAAAAGCTTCGTTCCAGCGCAAGAACGTGCAGACAATCCCTCTTCCACACCCAGGAACTATATCGAGACAAACGACGTCGTCTGAGCTATCTGGACAGGACGCACGGGTCATTAGCCATTTGGTTCTTTCCATCCGCACCAACCCCGCCATCATAGCGGGACCACATTATTCTTTTATCCCAGTTACCTCCGTCCGAGCAACATCATGGACTCAGGCTGGATAACTTACCTCCAGAAGACGAACTCGACTGTCGGGAGTGGAAGAAGGGTCAATGAGGCGGGGACAATGGGCCGTGCGGGCGAGAAATCCAGAGTCGAAATGCAAGAAAAGAGGGAGGAGGGAGCGGCGGAGATCATCACGATGGACTACCGAGTTGGTTTTAGGTCCTTATTGGGAGAAAGTTAAGTTGACTAGTTAAGTTAGTGACCTTTCCAGCTTGTCTGCGGGTTTCCTGACTAAGGCAGGGAATCTTCCCCAAGAATCAGGCCAACAACGAGGAGGCATGTGGACGGTGCTTCTGAATGCGGTTTAGTGGCAGCCGGGCTGTGACGTCGTCGTGAAAGCATCCAGTGCGACAAACCGAGTATTTTGATACGTTCAGTACGACTTGACCACCAGAGAAGGACTTGACGGATGTCTCTGCCTGAGGGCAAGCGCGCCTATTACTCGCAACCGATCAAACTGTTTTCTCCTACGAGACATGGTACAATGTACATTCCAAACCCATTTGCGCAACCTCAGCTCTGACAAGTGACAAGTGCTCCGGGATGTGTGACTTTTTCCGTATTGGTTCTTTTGTTGCCGAGAATCCACCCTCGAACATCGAACTGGGGAGCTAAACCCAAAGAGGGAGGCGTGGCAAGGGAGCTTGCGTCGGACTAAGCCAGTCCGGCGGTTGGAGGTACCCGCTCTGCCTGACGAGCCACTCACCAGGCGGATGCTCACGGATTGACACTCTCCCTCATGGCCACGCTTGCTGCATTGTCCGCAGTCATTGGCTCCTCCCCGGCGGACGGGCAGATGGACGAAGGAGGGCGGGATGCGTCTGGAACTGGATATGGCTGTGGAAGCCAGGTACATCTCTCTGCTCGCCTCCAATCATGGCATTCCGCAGCTCTCCTCTACAGCATTGAGTGTCGGTCCAGCTAGACCGGTGCATGTCTTGGTTGACACTACTAGAAGTACTTGGTAACATCAATGCTACGAGTGGTCAGAGTCTTCTGACGGTCCTGACTGGTATAGTACTAGTACTGCGCAGTTACAAATAGCAAGGGATTTCACATGCAAAGCGGGCGGGATAAGTCATTTTCCAATGATGGACGTATCCCTTCCGACGTACTGTGCGTGGCATCTCCTGTTGCTCTTGACCCAATTCTGTAAATACTTTAAGGCAGGAGATCAAGCTCCAACAACATGTGGCCAGAAGAACAGTGGCATACCGCGGTACGAGCGAATTAACGTTCTCAGTCATCTCTGGACAAGTCAAGGGCGACGGCGGACAGCCATGGTCTCTCGTGCCAGTGCCACCCATCCTGAGAATGGTGTCGTAATATGGCCAAGTTCGATTGTTCTCGAGCGATTTATTGTGCCAGCACTATTGGCTTAGCGGAAATAAACCTCGTCCTGCTGATGTGTTCCAGCGTTGAGTGGATTAACCATGGGTTCATTGTTGGTCAGAACTCATTGTTGATCCACGGGAGGCCGTCCCCGGGATGGATGGATATGCATGGATCAGGATTCGGTCGATCTCAGCATCTCTCAATACCCCACATATGGCAGTAGCTACCGTACTGTCCATACACTGTAGTACACAGCATCCCTTTCGTGGTGCATCAGCAGATAGTTCATGGGCACCAACTTGTCAGGGATGATGTGTGGATGCCCAGTGCATGTCGGGTTGTCAGTATATACTTTGATGTTGTGCAATGGTGGAGTCCACCCATAGAGGATTGTTCATCAAAACAGCGCTACTTCCTCCCCTGTCAATGAGAAGAATGCTTAGAATAATGCTCACTGATACTCGGAACTGTATACTTCCATCAGCTCAACCTAGCCTTTGACATCCTCGGGACAGACTCGTTGGGGACTTTGACTCGGCCCGGCTTCACATGGGATGAACATGAAGTGATAATGTGCATCTGCCGATGTCCACATCTTTTACCCACAGCTTGGATAGTACTAAGATAAACATCAGGGCTACCTGAAGAGATTATCGCCAAAACTATCGACTCGATTGCATAAGAGCACAATGCAGTGGTTGTGCATGAACAACTGGGGTCAGCTTATCCTCGGGACCTCGGTCGGCACGGTTCCCCGCAGGGGCCTCTCCGCATTCAACGGCCTCTCAGTTTATCTCCGCTGCTATCCCCATGTGCTTCAGGGGTTTATTTTAACGTTGCACCCGGATTCTACTTCTATACTCACAGATCAACTATCTATTGACAAGATTCCTGCAAGCTTGCAGCTTCTCTCACGACCAACTAACGAAGAATCACGAACTATTACGAGACTCCATCCATCATGGGAAAGAAGCCATCTGGTCCCGCCTACGTCCTTGGCGTGGGAATGACCAAGTTCATCAAACCACGCGGCAAGGTCGATTACCATGAGCTTGGGTTTGAAGCTGGTGTCAAGGCCATGCTGGATGCTCATATCAATTACGACGACGTCGAGCAGGGTGTCGCCTGCTACGTCTACGGTGACAGCACTTGCGGTCAGCGCGTGTTCTATCAGTTCGGTCTGACCCAGATCCCTATTTACAATGTCAACAACAACTGCTCCACTGGATCCACCGGCCTGGCTATGGCTCGCACCATGGTCTCTCATGGAGCTGCCGATTGTGTCTTGGTCGTCGGTTTCGAGAAGATGAGCCCTGGAAGTCTGCAGTCAGTCTATAATGACCGCGCCAATCCTACTGGATTGTTCGGTACTATGATGGCAGAAACTAGGGGAATCACCAATGCTCCTGGTGCTGCACAGATGTTTGGCAATGCTGGACGTGAATACATGGAGAAGTAAGTTGAGACCTACGCCGTCGTCCACAAATACTAACGAAGACTAGATACGGCGCCAAGACAGAGGATTTTGCCGAGATTGCTCGCATCAACCACGAGCACTCGAAGCGCAACCCATACTCTCAGTTCCAGGATGAATACACGCTCGAGCAGATTCTCAAGGCGCCCAAGATCCATGAACCTCTCACTAAGCTGCAGTGTTGCCCGACCTCGGATGGAGCTGCCGCCGCTGTCATTGTTTCCCAGGCATTCCTCGATGCACGCCCGCATCTTAAGGATCAGGCCATCCTCATCGCGGGCCAGCAGCTCGCTTCGGACAACAGCTCGCTCTACAACCGCAGCTCCATTGACTTGATGGGCTTCGGTATGTCCCGCGGGGCATGCCGCGCTGCGACCGCAGAGGCAGGCGTCAACGTGAAGGACATCAAGGTCTGCGAGCTGCACGACTGCTTCTCCGCCAACGAGATGATCACCATCGACGCTCTAGAGCTTTCTGATCCTGGAAAGGCCCACGAGATGGTCCGTAAGGGAGACATTACCTACGGAGGCAAGATGGTCATCAACCCGTCAGGCGGTCTCATCTCCAAGGGTCACCCGCTAGGCGCCACGGGCCTGGCGCAATGTGCCGAGCTGGTCTGGCATTTGCGCGGCTGGGCTAACAACCGCCTGGTCAATGGAACTGATGCCGCACTCCAGCACAACCTGGGCTTGGGCGGTGCCGTTGTAGTGACAGTGTACAAGCGCGCAGATGGCAAGGTTGCTACACCTGTGCCATCCGACGTTGTTGCTAAGATCTCCGGGCTTGGCTATAACCCGGCCGTGGAGGCCAAGGGCTTCACGGCGGAACAGGCCAAGTCCGTGCAGAGCAAGAACCACAGCGACACGTGGGCATTGGGCGATACGCAGGAGAGGGTTCTGGCACGTTTCTAAATGTAGCTAGGTCTGAGAATGATAGCATGAATAGTAATGCAGATTGTATACCCCATTCAAGCACACAACATATAATGCAGTACCCAGTACCACAGCTCACTGTAGTATCCCAAGTGTGATACTACCCCGATTGTACAACCTCACCTCAAATACACCATCCCAGTCCAAAACAACCAGGACATCCCAGCTAAGCAAAAACACCCACAAAGTCACACACACTGGCTCCTCCATCCAAACCCTCCATCCCAACTACCCGCCGCAATAATATGAACTAAATAAACTCGATGGCTGGGGATAAGTGGGGCCTACAGCACCAGCTTACTAAGCACCTCACTCCACCGCCCGGAATAAATAAATTTTCGCGAAATCTCCTTTTCTCCCCTCTTTTCTTCTTTTTTTTCCTCTTCAAGGTCTCCAACATACCCTTGTTGATGGATAAACTCTCCATTCCACTAGCAAATTTTAGCTTTGAGACCGAGAGTGATATTTTCTGCTCGTTCTAATCCCATTGCCTGACAACTGTTCACGGGGTCGTTTGGGTTCGCTTTGAGCATACACCATTTTACTATTATCATTATCGTTGATTGGATATGATTGGCGAAGGAAGAAAATGAGCTTCCTTAGCTAGTGATGTTCTTTCATTGTTGCTCAAAACTGTTGAAAGGTTGAACTAACTATAGGTTTTATATCATAACAAGGAAGATAAGGTGTGAGGAATGGAAGGATGGAAGGAAAGAAGGAGTCGGCACATTCGAAGCCTTGTCCGTCTAATCCCCATGATTCGTCGAGGTCAAAATCGTGCCAAGAGTGATCGGATTATTTGGACAAATATACGTCCTTAAATCTCTCCCTCGTGTTGCGGCCGCCTGTTTATTGTATGGGGTGGTACGTGTCAAAGTAGGGAGGTACATACTATCCTTTCGATTTGGATTGGTTATGCGTAGTGACAATTTAGATCAATTGAAAATCAAGAGCAAAAATCACGCCTTAGAATTTCCTTGGTGTTAAAAAGTAATTCAGTTCACATTCTGCTATAACTTAGAACATAAGGAAATATGTTTGCATGCATGCATGCATACATAGGGAACATCATCATCCTCCAACTGACCGACAGCTTGTGCAGCGAGAGTGTTTACAAGAAAGGCACTTGCTGGCTTCAGCTTCTGCATTCCGTGATTCTCCACATCGACAACATACCCACCAAAGAAGTTTCCAAGATTGGGATTCCGTTGCTGCGTCTTTGCCAGAAGACGATTTCCCCGAAGTGCTGGGTTCTGCTGCCTCGAAACCCTTCCATTCAGGAGCATCTCTCCACGGTTGTCTCTGGAACCGTCCTGGTATATTCCCATAGGCGCGACCATCAACATTGTATCCGTAGGCCACACGACTCTCTTCTGCATTGTCCGCCCGCCCATGCCAACGCAATGCAAGTAGTGCCAGTTTCTCTAGATGTTTGGCAACGTGACTCTCCCAACTTGTGTCGGAAGTTGTGCTCAGTGTGCATAAGGGACACTCTGTTGGCCACTCTGTTGGCCACTCTGGTAGACGCTCTCGTGGGTACTCCGGTCGACACTCTGGTTGATAGCCTAGGACCCCAGTAGCCAACTCTTTGAGATGAAGTTGGCAGTGTGCGGACCATTCTTGCCGTGATTCATACAGCTGAAAAGGCGATGGGCAGTATGGGAAGACACAGACATATGGCATGATGTCGTTGAGGACGTGCTGGGCCCAAGCATGTTCACTGCAATCAACCCGGACCATGAAGAAGCAATAAGGGCATTCATACCTTTCCTCCACTATCTGACAGGGGAAAAAAACCATTGCTTCATCGCCTTCTTGTTCAAGAAGCGCTGCACGTGAGCAATTGGAGTCCTTTGAATCCTCCATATCCCCAAGCTCTAGGTTGCCCGGGTAGTCAGGCTCGCCATTCTCGAGTCCGAAGCGTACTCCAGCGAGTTTTGATCGACATCTCTTATACTGCAGGATCGCCCGGCGCAGTGATATCGCTGTTCCAAGTCGAACAACAATGCGTTCATCTGCCTGAGGGTAACTATTGAGAACGAGCTGTTGATCGTAAGGCTCAAATTGAGCCACGTCAGACTTCTCGATCCCCACAACAAAATCGTGTTTAGAAGGTTGGTGAATTGCCGGTGAAAGCCGGAAGAGACAGTCCACTGTATCATGCACAGAGTGATAAATTGACTGGAGCTCTGCTCGAAGATCTTCCTGCATATCAGAGTTCGGAAGCTTCCTGTCAGCCGGACTGGGATCTGCGATCTCCTGCAGATCTTCACAGTTCCTTAGAAGCTGTTCTAGAAGACGGGCGACGTGACTTTTGAGGTGAGATGAATCGCGCAGCCTGTAGTCCAGCGACCTTGAGCCCTGTGCGTTGGCTCCAATGTCGGCAGCCCACACTCGCATTCGCCCGATTTCATCTTCCCAGAGAGATACTGGAACCTTATCATCGAACAGTACAAACCATCCATCTGATCTCCAGTCATCCAACCGTTTAATGATTGCATGTATAGATGGTGAGATGGCCCGAGCCATATTTGATGCTCTGGCGTCAATTTGCCTGTCCTCAGTTGAAGGAGGCCAAAGTGAAGGCTCTTGCAAGCGCCAACGTGACGTGAGCAACCCAGGTGTTACAAAGAGCGGGGTATGAGGGTCATTTGTTGCACTCGTTCAGTCCCAGCCTCGCCTGCTATACAGACTGTCTCTTCCTCATTGCTTTTCATAAGTCCGGCACTCCAAGATGGCTACTGGCATCGAAGCAGCCAGTTTCGTTCTGGCCATTTTGCCACTGCTGGTAAATCAGCTTGAAGATTACGTCCAGGGGTTCGATAAATTGGCACAGCTCGGATCGAAAAGACACCAGAGAGATATGCAAACCAAACACAATACCTTGAAAGCTGAAATGGCGATCCTTCTCAATACAATTCAAATCGCCGTGGACGGAATCACTCAGTATGAATTTGGCGATTGGACCAGCATTTCCGATTCCCAGTTCTGGACAGACGACAATATACAGCAAAAACTTGAGCGGAAGCTCGGAAGTAGCTATGATCTATTTATAAGCTTAACAAATGAGCTAAAGGACCAGCTAGAAAGGCTATCCGCGAAGTTGGGCGTGGGTGTTGGCAGAACTGGCAGAGTATGCGTAACTGGAGCACCTTCATAACTATTTAAGGTTTCTAAGCCGCTGACCAAGTTCACGTGGCTGCCAGGTAACCAGGTCCAGCTTTCTCGATCGACAACACATGAAGATCCGCATTTTCTTCTTGAGTGGCCGTTACAAGGATCTTTTCGATCAGATCGGGTCTAGTAACAGGCGTCTACAAACCTTGGTAGGGCAATGCAAACAGATTAGGGAGATAAGCGCAAGAAGCGCCGTATCCCAAGAATCGCTAGCGCGACACCAAAAAGGGCGTCAATTAGCAAGCAGCCTGCATAATGCGATCATGAACGGGGTTTACTGGCAATGTGTTTGCAAGACTCAGCATAGACTTTACTTTACGTTTGACTCCTTAAACACTCCATGGACTCGTGACCCGTCCAGCAAGCCGAATTCTGATGCCATTAAATTTGAGATGGAGATCCTGACTTTGGAGAACCCTAATCGCTGGCACGAAGTCGAGGCTAAACCAGATAATAATAGTCTCCCGCAAGAACTGTGTCGTGATAGCCATGCTACGTCAAGCCAGCAAGGGCTATCAACTGATGGAAACATACTCAACATCAGCTTCCCCCAAGGAATTTCAGGTACCGAACAAGGAACCGTCATTGGAGCCCAAGACCTGCCGGCCGCAGTTCAGATCACCAATATGTGCGTTTCACTGTCGGCCGTCGGTATCAACGAGAGCAATGAGATGCTTCTTGGGTACGTGACAGACACAAAGCACAAACATAATATATACCATCTGCGAAGCAATGCAGAGAGCGTACGGAACCTATATTCCAAATCTCTTGAAGAGTTATTTGCGATACTGTCCTCATCTTCTGATGTTGCTGTCCAAAAAATCTTTACGGTTCAAGATCGTTTGAAAATCGCGGTAGATCTTGCATGTGCAGTTCTTCAGTTTCACGGGAGCTGGCTCAAAAGAGAGTGGCGAGCTCGAGACATCAAGGTCTTCAAAGATCCACGCGTCTCAGAACCTGAAGACGTACCGGTACCCGTACCCTATATTGAGTGGGACCTGAATACCGAGCCCAGTCAGGTGCAGGCGAGCGAACCTTTCATCCATTTGGGGTTCGTACTGGTGGAGCTGTCTCAGTGTCAGACTCTGGAGGCGTTAAAGACAGGGGAAGATCATGATGAAGTGCAGGTTGTGGCTAATCGCAACACGGCACTCCGCCTTCTACCATTTGTGGAGACGAAAAGCGGGCGAAGCTATCGCCAAGTGACAGAACAATGCTTGAATTGGCCGAATTGTACACTTGACAACGATAATATCTCCAAGGCAGTTCGGTCAATTATTGCGCCTCTAGTGGGATACTGGAGGATACTCAAAGGGCCAGAGCATCCACACTGAGGGAGGTACAGAAGTGAACAAATACTTGAATTCCTTTGGTGAGTATATCCCACTCGACATTGCCACTGCATCATACCAATCGCTAATAGTAGAAGCTTTTTACGTGTTTTCTGAAGTAGTGAAAGAATGCTCTACCAAATTGCACAATTTGTTGATAACAATTAAATGACCACCTTCGGCATCAGCCAACTAACAAAATTGAGAGATCTGATCAGTAAGGAAGTATGCAAAATAACTTTGGTTTAATGTTTGTAGTTTGGCCCTTGGTTCAGAACTGTTTCGAACCTCCTGGCAACAACAAGTACGCGACTGTTGCACAACCTCACTTTGATCATTCCACGATAAATTTTCTGCCACAAGGAGAACGCCCTTCATCGAATGCGATCCATCCCAAGCTGATTTAACTCCCATCATCGAGCAAATAACCATCCTGTCATCGTGAAACAGACGCGTTAGTCTCGCAGCTGCTGTCAAGCATGCAATTTGGATGCACACGCGGCTCTCCTGCAGAACGGTTAGGAGGAGTAAACCATGCCGCGCAATAAACGAAGGATATCAGACAATTGTGTAAGACTCTGTCCCCCGGAATGTGCCCTTCTTGGTGCCGGTTTGCCGATCCACGTACCCATCAAGCTTTCTCCCTCCACCCTCCTACATGAGGGTGCGCCGCCCTGAGCACCCCTTGCGTCCATCAAGGTACACCACGGGATAACCAGCCAAACAAACACCACCATCGACCAAGCCCTTGGATTCCCCAAATATGAGCCACGCGGATCATCTATGTTTTGAGTCCATCGCGAGTGGGCGCGGTCCCTTCGTTCTCCTCCCAACCAGGGGAATGTCAGACGTACCTGGGAGCCAAGGACAAATATAAAAATGCCCACGAGGTCAGCTCCGTAGCACACCAGGCGAGCATTCGGATTCATTTCTGCAGTGGTCTGGTCGTTTTGTCTCATACTTATCCTTCCTTTTCTACTACTCTACTTCTATTTTGCGATCTTGATCAATTATACTTGGCTATAGATCGATCTACATTCATCTATCACGCCTATCCACTCTTTATTTTATTCATCTCACTTCAATTCTCGATCTATTCTCCTTTCCACATACCCACACATCATCACAATGGCCCGTCTCAGCCTTTCCATCTTCGTCCTTTGCCTCTTCCTGGCCCTCTTGGTCTCGGCCATGCCCGTCAAGCGCGAGAACTCCAGCGGTAACGAGCTGGACGGCACTCTCGCTGAACAGGTCGCAGAACAATCCCTGGAGGTAATTCTTTCCCTCCCATCTTGACTACCCAATATACCTTATCCAGACACTGACGTAACAATCTTATTTAGTCCGCCAGCGAGATGCTCGACCAAATAACCGGCAAGGACGACGACGACAAGAAGAAGCCCGCCCCCAGCGGCACCACCACCGACAACAAGCCCTCTCCCACTGGTGCCAAGCACGCAACCGAGTCCCAGACTGCCCCTAAGACCGAGGACAAGGTGGCAAACACGGAGCCCTCTTCCACTACCCCTACCTCTACTGAGGAGACCCCCTCAACCTCTAGCTCTGCCCCCTCGACCGCCTCCTCCCACGTCGTCAATGACAACCCGCTCTCGAAGATCCCTCTCGTGGGCGACTTGTTGAGCGGTGGTGGGTCTGGCTCTCTTACTGGAGGACTGTTGGGTTAAGCCATCTTTCTTCCCTTTAAGGATGGGAGAGTACTGTGTTGGTCATTGTTGCTTTCATGTATGTTTGGTTTCTATATGCATGCATGCATGCGTGATGGCAGTTTGATATTTGGACGGAAAGAAAAGGAAGAAAAATGATCTTTGGGATGGACTTGACTGCGTTGAGTCTATCTTTGTTAACTCACTTTTTATGATTTTGAAAACAATAGTAATGATTTAGTGTAGCTAGCTAGATGCATTTAATGGAATCCAAATCATCAAACTAAATTGAAACAATTAAGATGCATTTCGCTAGCTCGTAGTGAATCAAGCACATGGTTTTGATAAGGGAATCATGACCATTGCTCAGGACGGTGTAGGCTTCATACATATCAATCTGCCTTACTTGGATCCTGAAGCAACACGAGAAGTGAGAAGTTAGGTACAGCAGAGAGGGCAATTAGGAAGACGTTGCGCAGGGTATACTGAAGAGAAGAATGGACGTCACGAGGTGATCCATCCGAGCAACAGACTGTTAAAGACGTAGTAGTCTGCTAGTTATCCAGCAGAATGACATGCAGGGTATCCATCGTAGAGAATGATCACAGAAGAAAAGAGATTTTGATTAGAAGAGATGAAACAATGTTCATATTCCTCGATAGACATTGAGATAAATTAGGAAACGAGCAACACTACCCGGGACAGCACTTCGTTCATCTCTGCACCATTCCAATCAGCCCCAACCACAGACGGTGCCAGAGAGATCCAGTAGAAGTCATCCCATGTGATGCTAGCTAATATCACTAGACGGTACACACCCGCAGGACTTTGTAGTGTCTCTTGTATGAGTAGGCGAACTGGTCAACCTGGCACGTTGATACGCCCCAGGCATTTCGCATATCCTCAGTAGCCGTCACCCCGGACAATCATTCATCGCGATCTCTTTCATTGCACTTGATGCTGCTCCTTTCCCAAACGGCTTCTTTGTAACAAACCGAGTACATTGATTTCGACATCCCACCAGACTCATGCATGTGAGGAGGTTCATCTGGTAGAAAGATGCTTGCGAGATAAGGGAGAACAGTCATATGTGACTTGCCAAGGGGATTTAGTCGGGCCGTGGCTTCAGATTCGGTTCGAAACTGTACTGTGTGCAGAGTGGGGTATCGTGCAAGCTGTATATCTGTCCGTGAGACCAACATACTGGAAGCTGCAGTGGTGCAAGCGATGTGGTCGTGAAGGGGACGACAGATGTCAAAGCAAAGAGGGTGTCCTAGGGGAGATCCAGTAACACACCAGCAGTGAGGGTTTCTCAATCTGCAAGCTGAGGGCTCAGAGACGGATACACACACTGGATAAGACCCAGACCCTCCAGATATGTGGTAGGGCGAGAACATATAAACAAGCCGGACAATGGCGCGTGAGGAACTCGGTTTAGCCGACATAGAGTCATCGGAGGAAGGCCTTCGAAAACCCTCGTGCTCTTTCTTGACCACATCGTGCCGTGACCGCAGACCAGATACCAATCGTACGTGCCGCAGTGGTTGTATCCGCCTTATGAGTTCCTCCATGCGCGCATCTAAGCGCAATGGGTGTCATGTCATCCTCCGATTTCGTTCAATCTACCAACAGGGCATAATATTGAGAGTATTGGTTAAGAGAAAGAGCCAGAACCATGAAACACGACTCTAGCAAGGGCGGTCTAAAGCCCTATTTCCAATGATAGCACGCAAGATCAGCTCGCGATTTGGTGTCAACCTTGCTAAGAAGACCCGGCTTTGCTTGCAAAGCATAGACTAGGATGACGGAGTCCGATATGATGTTCCACTATGGTGACATGTAGAACAAGCAACCAGGACATTCTTCCATCTTTGAGAGAGTTTGCGTGCGGAAGTGTCTGTGGATTGGAACATAAGATGTATTTTGCCCTTCTGCCCAAGCGATAGGGATTGGCCATGGTCACCGGAAGGCTCGTTGGAGGAGGCGGACTTCTTGAATATCCCAGTTTGATCCTGGACGTACTGCTCATGAACGTTTCAAAATGACCTGGTAAGAACTATCTCGCTCCATCATGATAGATGCCCATTACAAGTCTGGGCTTTGGCGTTGGCCGACCGTACAGGAGCGAAGTAGCGGAGTTGGGGGAAAGAAGAGCGCTATGACATCTCGTAACAGGGGAGATGGTGGGTAGGAAAGCGATTGGACTTGCAACTTGATAATGCTTTGCTTATGTTGATAAGATCATCTCAAGCTCCGTCCCCAACTGCTACAGAAGCGCGAGCCAAAATAATTGGCACAAGAAGTTTCTGATTTCTGGTCTGAAGACGGAAAAGATGTATGGAAGCCGAGCTGTCAGGAAGCTGGTGTTCGATGAGGGTTGCATATGTGCGAGTTGCCACGGATCGATTTTCCCGCATGGTGCTTGAGCACGCGTGGAGGCTCCCCAATTTTGTGCCACTTGAGAGGGAACGCAGCCTGATATATCAAAGATGGTGACCTTGGATCCTGGTTGCCTTGTGGGGTGGCTTGTACTCCACGGACGCAACAGTATATGGAAGACAGAAGATGGATATCCGTGTTGGCAGTCAACACATTTGCAACCAGATTCCTCAACCGTCTTATTGACGCATTGGCAATTGTTTCCGTTAGTCATTAACTTGCAGCTTCCGAGTAGAGTATACCTTTCTTCATGACCGGTCTGGTCCTCTCTTGGAACTTGTCCAGCTAGTTTCTGTCGCTGCTCACAACAAAACCTATGAATAATTGATAAATCGGAGGAAAACCAGGTAATGACTGGAGTCTCGGGCTCATTTCCTAAAGTATGTTGTGATCATATGCACGCAGATTCGCGCCGCGCACCTCACGTTCAACCTCAGTCCACAAGAAGCACAGGTGGCCTTGTTCGTGGTATATACCTCCTATCCAGCGGTATGTGACGCTCTGCTCATGACCACGTTCGTCGTGATACGTAAAGGTGATGTCCTCTGTATGTGACCGAGTCCTACTACCAGGCGCATGGGATCCTTGTCGAACCGTCTTTCATAGCTAATAGATTGGTTCGGTATGTAAATGTGAAAAGTCAGCGGACCACTTCAGCGCTGTAGACGTCGTCCCGATGCTCGGCTCCGGAGCTCGTATTACGGCCTATGTCGTTGCACCTCGAAATAGGTTACCACTAGTGCAGAGACGGACGTCTTGACGGACAAGCCTTTGATTATATTGTGTTATGAAATCAATGATCTGACGGGACATACCGCATTGTAAGTCACTGATGGAGGTTTAAGGGGCTGACTGATAGGTGAATCCTAGCATTGCCATAGACACAGGTTTCCGCATTGACTGTCTTTCTTTTCCCCAGACAAGGCTGTATTGTGTCTGGAAATAAAGCCTTTCCCCCCATTCATAAGCGGAGACAGCGCTGGGATGACAATGGGAGATCTCTAGTTCCCCATATGGGGGACGACTGCGCGAAACCGACCCGAATCCGCGCTGACTACCCATGAGATAGCTGTCAGCTCCTCATCAGAGTCATTCATACATCAGGATTGTATGGGTGTGCCGGACCGGGAGGTTGGAGAGGCGTGAGAGCACAATGCGATAGCCTGACAGGAATGGTACCATCTTTTGCTATCAATCATCGAACATCCGTCCTTATTCAAGGCTGTGTTCAACCCAACCACTGCATACACCGGTGGAAGGCATACGGGAGGCGAGCGCGATTATGGTCGCTTGTTTTGCGCCCACTCTGTCTGTTGCCAATGGCCAGTGTCGATGCGAGATTCCTTAGTGTAAACGCATCAGAGATGGACCCTGTCTGAGGCGAATTCCAGAGTGTGCTTAATTCATCCCACAGGTCGGCAACCTCATCGATAAGTTGACCGGCGACGGTGATATGAGAAAAGAGCATAGGTCCCGACTGTTTTACTGCCCTCATGAATAGCTAACCTCTTTGTTATGCATAACGATAATTGCGTCGGGAGGGTGAATCTGAACCTTCGGACGACAGCGAATCTCTATATATTCTATATCGACGGGTATGGTGACATGAAACGAGAATCTCAATGTCCAGTATGCTACATTTCACTGGTGATCTCGCCGTCGGTGGCACGTCCGGATAAGGCGTTTGCTTGGAGTGAGATTTCGGTTCGGTCTCACCACTGCCGGTAGACAGGAAAATCTAGTTGGAGTTGATTGAAGACTGCTGAATTTGACTGTTGTCCCGCTGCTTGAAGAGCCCGGAACAATCATTGGCTCTCTAGATAACGTCTCCAAACATATGGTTAGTCGGAACAAGACAGCAGAAGCTATTCATTCCATTAGAGCACCTACCTTCCTCTCGACGCCAGACCAGTCTGATACAGCACTCCCAAGGTTATGGCCGTCCAGATAATAAGCAAGGTCGAAGTACAGAGAGTTTTGAAGCCTCGGGTCTTTCCAAATACATTGCATCTTAGCCGGTGAGCATTTCTCTGTAGAGGTTGTACGCTTCATATCAGGCGATGTCCACTATGTTCGGCTGATATATAACCAGGGTAGAGTATACCGAAGAAGAGGGGTCGAAGCCGGATGCACGTTCCACTGAAGTCCTTCGTATTCATTTTGTCTAGCGAAGACGCCATGCAAAGGCCAAGGTAGCGACATGCCCGAAAGGTGATGGAGGGGGTTGTTTCTGGGCTTGTTATGACAAATAAGTGGATCTGGAACGCCTTTGCATGCGCAGCATTTGGTTTTCGATTCCTTGCATGTGCTGTGCGATGCAGGATCTTTGTAGCTTTGACTCTTTCGATCGCAAGATGAGTCCCCTGTTTGCGAAGTCTGTTGGAGGGGTTTTGGGTTCCAGCCACTTAATATAAATGTATTTTGTAAGAGTGATTTCAACATGGTTGATGTGATATCGTAGGCTCGGGAGCAGTCACGAAGACTGACCACGAGTCATCCGGTTCTCCTGTGCTCACGTTTCCTGCTGAGACACGGGCATAGAAGTCCTATGATGGACTGTTAATCTTTCTTCGACGGATTGGAGGCGGATGGCTTCGAACATCTCCGTGGCTGCGGATACGGCATCGCCTAAGGCTATCTCCAGATAGCGTGGTGTAGTTGATTCGGAGTGTATGGCCACTAAGCGCTTTATCAATGGCTTCTCATGAGACCAACCATCAAGACGACGATTTCTCCGTTATATAGAAGCTGGAAGAGACAGGTACGCGCAGCACGGCTTTTCAGCTAGTAGCGAAGCCTTGGGTTCGTGGGATTTTCGGATGTTCGTTTTACTAATTTGTACACAAAGGGCCCCGCACTCGTAGCCATTGGGACCATGGCATGGAACCCGGAATCGCAGGAGCAAAATGCGATCTGCGACGATATCGGCGGCGCATCGAGGAGGCCTCGGGAACTCCTCTCGTAAGTCAAGCTGCGCTAATGAAAAGCAAAGTCACAAGTGAAAGAATAGATGCGGGTTGCAGCATGCCATATTAGTGTGATGCTGGTGTATAGAAGGGGGGCACCAACGACAACATGAAATTCTCGAAATAAACCTGTTAGGATGACGACACAAGGGGTAGGGTCCAAACAGAATAGTATCAGGATCGTGAACTAGCATGTTTCTCCCTTGCTCTTATTGTTGCCACAGAATGCTGGAAAATTGGACAAGAAGACTGTTGTTGCGAAGTTGTTGCACGCACTATAGGCTGACAAGTCAGGTCTGTGCCACGTTTCCAGTGACATGAGTGAGGCAATAGGTTGCTTCAGGGACATGAACTGGATAAGTAAATAAAAGTTCCCAGAGATTCAGTGCTTCCATCTCCATACACCAATGACCTGGCAAAGGTCTTGTCCAATTGTGTTCAGCGAGAGGGGCCGATTCGATAGTGTATATGCAGCAGGAAATGAACTGTTGTCGGCAAGACGACATTTGGTGACCCCCTGGTCAACCATCATCTACTCTGAGAAAGGCCCTCGAAAGGATCCTCTGGGCCTTCTCTTCATTCGCTCTCAATCAACACGTAGCGCAGGCCGCCATGGTTCCCAGGCCTAACAGGAACCGTCCATGAAAATTGGGAATGGCAAGATGCTCGAAAGCCTATACCAGGACCTCATTGGTATCCTGCGGTTCACTGAAGGCGAACCAGGTTGTTATGAGGATCGCCCCGGGGCAGGGCCTCAACTGATCAGGATCGCTCGATTGTCACAGCTAGTTGGCCGAAGGTGATAGCAGATGTGATCGCTCTGCGATTGATATATTTGACCTGTAGAGCCTTGTTAATCGCGTAAGCCATGAAATAGAGAGAGGCCGTGACTTACTGAGCAGGAAGGTCCTGAAGTTGTATTGAATACTTTGGATCCTCGAAACTAATGGCTGTTCAACGATGGGCAATGGTGGTTTTGGAACCTCATTATTGGAAGCCATCATGGTGTATACATATTTGATGGCCTCTGAGGATTGGATTCGCATATATCAAGATGTCCGCTTCCTGCAGATTCCTCACATAATTTCGAATACAATCCTCACCTCATTCAGACATTGATGGGGCCTATACGGACGGTCAATAAGTTTGTATGTAAAAACCATTATGTGTCATGTTGTCACCTCTTTAGTAGGTTATATATATGCTTCCAGCATCGTGGGGGATACCAGGCTTCACCGGGCGACAGCACCCGAGAGTTCCTTTCATGGACAAAGTAGGGGAACATGGGGTTTTATACAGGGCCCACAATATACGGTCGAAAGATTGGTGCTCCAGCTCCTCAGTCCTGAAGTGGGTACACCATGATACATTGAAGGTCCCTTCTATCTCCTTGAGCGTGCGCTTAGTAGAGAAGATGGGACGTATGAATGACAGCTCCAACTGTCCGCGAGGGGGTTTATATATATATATATATATATATACTAGAGAGAGACAGAGAGAGAAGAAATCTGAAGATCAAGGAACAAACAAGATGGGCGGAAGGATGGGGATATATAGCTCCCGAAAGTGCATTTCTAGTAAACAGGAGGTAAATAGGCATGAGAATGATATTCAGAATCTAGACCGCACGAAGTCAAAGGGGCCAGGGTGAGGCCGCCAGTAAGGTCACCGCGCATTATTCCATATACGCAGCGTTGTTCCACAGTCTTCATGTAGGATTCCAAGGTCGCAACCGGTGATCGTGACCAAACGACAAGCCCGCCTACTCAGGTAACATGCCAGCTAGGTGCATGCCCATCTACAGCCGCCTGGAGGGAGATTCTCGTCTAATCCTGGCCTGTACCCAGACGGGATGTTGTTTGCGCCTGCGGCCATCCTGGGGATTTAGCTTTCCGCGCTCATAATTCACTGCAACCTACCAGGATTGCGAACAACGCAGATAGATGCTTGTCACTTCGTTACTATACTTTCAGCTGGGTTATGAGCTCTTGTTCTGGTTCGCTCGCTGTTGGCCCTCATATAGACCAGTGTAATATCCAGCATAGTACCAGGCCATCATGAGGTTTTTGAGTCCCTCATCTTGCACTTAGAGAGAGTTAGATTTCTCCACAGCAAAAAGGATTAGAGCGCATCTTACCTTGGGATAGGGTGGCATGAGGCATAGGAGGTGCTCCTACGGCACTGGGCCCAGCCGGTTGATCGGTGACATGGGCACCCTGTCCAAGAGGCTGTTCCGGCCCTTCCGCGGCCTGAAATGAAGTCAGTCCAGTAGATCCAACCCGACAAACGGTGCAACTCACTTGCGACAGTTTGGCCTGTGGCACCTGTTGAGGTTCCGCTGGAGTTGTTGCATTTGCAGCAGTGTCGGCGTCGACGTCAGCATCCATGCGGTCGGCCGATTCGTCCAACGGCTGCTCATCTTGCTCCATCTCAGCTTTTTCAGCAGCCTCTGCTTCTCTCAGGACATCTTCAACATTCTCGCCCTTCGCATGGATGCTGTGGTAGAGCTGGGGTTGTTCTGGTCAGCGAGCGGATCACGTGCACGGGGAGGAAGCCCATACTTTGTATTCCTCGACAGCCTCATCCCAGCTCTGGACGAGGGCCGAATCATCCCAGATCTCTTCCTGAGTGAGGGGTTTATTCGCCTTGGCCGATTTCCCCATGACCCCGGTAAATGCGCGCAAACAAACGGGCGTGTGAGATGGTTGGGTTGCGGAGAAACAAGAGCTTAGAGTTGGAGTCGCGGCGAGGCCCCGTCGGCCGGGCTGGATTGCATTCACCGCTTGGCGCCCGAAAAATTGCGAGCAGAAAAAAAGTTTCCCGCACCTTTGCGATCCTCCGATTGTAGTCCCCCAGGAACCGCCTGCAATTATCCCCAAAAATCACAGCAGGATGGCCCCCGACAAGAAGGACAAGAAGCGCAAGGGTATGTATTGTTACACCGTTTGAGAAATTTTTTATTTCAACCCGTTGGTGCGCCTACTAACGCTGCTCAGCTGCCGCTGCCACTGCCGCCGATTCGCCCGCAAAGAAGACCAAGAAGGTCGAGGCCAAGACTGCCGAATCCCCCAAGGACGCACCCAAGCCTATCCTCAAGAAGGCCAACCAAAAAGTGGCGGCTACAAAGACCGATGGCGCTTCGAAGACCAAGGCCAATGGCCAGCCCGCCAGACAGATCAAGCCTCGCAAGCGCGCAGCCGACTTCCTGAGCGACAACGAGAACAGTGAGTCTGAGGCGGAAGTTGCTGAGCCCAAGGTTGCGAAGGAGGAGAAGCCTACCACCAAGAAGTCGAAGAAGGAGGACGGATCAGCTGCTCCCGCGACAAAATCCAAGCCCGCCAAAGCCAACACCAAGGCCAAGAAGGCAGAGCCTGTCGTTGAAGAATCTGAGGAGGAAGACGAGGCCGCCGCCTCGGAGGCTAGCCAGAGTGAGGATGAGGAGGATGACCGCACAGCTGCCCTCATCAGGGGCTTCGAGAGCAGTGGTGACGAGGATGAGTCTGGCGATGAAGGCTTCAACCCCGACCAGCCGGTCCCTCAGATTCCCGACTCGAAGAAGGCCAAGCGCAAGATCTTGAAGAAGCAGAAGGAGAATGCCGGTCACGTTGAGGAGCCCGGAACGGTTTACGTTGGGTAAGTTAAACCATCAGGAAGTTCAGTTGTGACTACTATTAACACGCTATGCTACAGACGCATTCCCCACGGTTTCTACGAGCACCAGATGCGCGCCTACTTCAGCCAGTTCGGTGAAATCACTCGCCTGCGTCTTTCCCGTAACCGTATCACCGGTCGCTCCAAGCACTATGCCTTCATCGAGTTCGCCCATACCTCTGTCGCTAAGATTGTTGCTGCCACCATGGACAACTACCTCATGTACGGCCACATCCTGAAGTGCAAATACGTGTCCCCTGAACAGCTCCACCCGGAGGTCTGGAAGGGCGCCAACAGACGGTTCAAGCGCACCCCCTGGAACCGCATCGAGAAGAAGCGCCTTGACAAGGGCAAGACGAGAGAGCAGTGGACGGAGCGCATCGAGAGGGAGCAGAAGAGACGTCTCGCCAAGGCTGAGAAGCTCAAGGCTATTATGGGCTACGACCTCGACATCCCGCAACTGAAGAGCGTGGATGAGGTTCCTGTCCAGGAGGCCAAGGCCATCGAGGCCTCTGAGCCCGCTGCTGAAGAACCCGCCAAGGCCATTGAGGCTGCCCCGGTTGAGGAACCCAAGGCCGAGAAGCCCGCTGAAGATACCCCTAAGAAGACCAACAAGAAGACTAAGAAGGCTGCCCAGTCCCCTGCTGCGCAGGAGACTCCCAAGTCGGCAGAGAAGTCTACCCCGAAGAAGACCACCGAAGAAACTGCTTCCCCGGCCGCCCAGAAGGCCAAGAAGGTCCAGAAGAAGACCAAGGCCAAGTCTAAGGCTTGAGGGGATTGGGGGTTTTATATACTACTTTTGTATTTCTTATGGCATTAAACAAGAATTACCCGGAGTTCAATCGATTGTACATGAAAAAATAGGGACATTATTTTCGCTTTAACAAGCCATTCTTGATTCATAATTCTGTCCAGTAAACGTATACCCAAAACCCCTCTTCTAACCACCACGTAAATTCTCAGCATGCCTCAGGCAGTACCCGCAACACCATAGAAAACCGAAGTCACGTGACACACACCACGACCCACAGCTCCACTCCCTGACTAATCGGCTATAAAAAAACCCACGCACCGAATCCAAATTTCCTCTCTTTTCCCTTTCTCCTCCCAACTCCTCGCTCAAAGAATCGCATTCAAAGCTCACACACAGAGAGCAGTCTTCACGACTCTCTCTTTCCCCCTCAGCTTTGGGAGAAAGTCCCCGGACATCCTGACTGTTTAAACGTCCTCTTGTAGGGCCCAGTCAGGCAATGCGGAAACGCGCCGCCATAGAAGCAATTCGATAGCGGCTTATACGCCCTATTCCCCTCCCAGTGTTTTGTCTCTGTACCCGAACACTTGCTGCCACCTTCTGGTGTGGCTTGTGGGTAACAATGGTTGGTGCAGGGCAGTGCTGGAGAGGGGGTTTTATTTGGGTTGCCTTTCGTCGTGTTTGGATAGTCATGCGATTGCCCGTCCTATATGTTTCTTCGAACCGACCTCTCACGTCTGAAAATATGTCGGGGAGCGTTGGTCGGGAAATATTTAGGGGGTAACTCAATGGGGCTCATTCTTGAGGCGAGGAGTTCAATTTTCTTTTTTCTTTTTACGAGTCTGTAGCTTATGGAAAGCGGTGATTGTGGGCCTTTCTGGTGATTTGGTTCATCTTTTGGCTTCCGTCGCAGATGCTCTGTCGAAGGAGCCGGACTCTACTACTACTCCTACTTTCCATTTATTCATCTATTTATTGATGATGTTTTGATTTTGTTCGTGTGATGATATACCAATCATAGAGTCAAGCCCTGAAACCCCTACTACGGTATGGGGTCGTTGACGATAAACGATTGTTTTTTTATCTGATGAACAAACACATTTCATATTCATTATTGATACCCTCATCGCATCGTTATTCTCTAAGTCAAGAAAAAGAAAATATGAATAAATTATCTTCCAAAAGAACCATCTTATTTTTACACATCCAACTCCACGTAGCTCAAAACATCCATGCATCCATTAGCATAGCATACATACAACATAATTTCATTGTGTCTTTTTCGCAGCAGGCGCAGCAGCAGCAGCAGCAGTAGCCCTCTGCAACAAAACAGCCGTCACCACCTCCGCCATAGTCGTAATCGCCGTCGCACAAACATTACTCCAAATCTGGATGCTCACCGACCCCATCGGCGCACGGGGGAACGACAGCACCCAAGCCACGTAGTAAGGAAGCCAGCCCTCCGGCAAATGGAAGACCGGCGTTTTCGAGTACCAAAACTGCAGGAAGAACTTGAGACCAGATGTACCGAACCAGCGAACGATTTTGACGCCCCAGTCGAAAGAGGTTTTCTGCGAACTAAGTTGTTTGTCTGTTGAACCCGCCATTATTAGCTCTTTGCCTCTTGAACCAGCCAGTTCCCCAACCCCCAAACCAATATATATGTAGACCGTAACTGTGATCGGAAAATCAAACGTACTTATCGCCTCATATTCCTCCATAGTCTTATCATGCTTCCGTCGGAGTTTCGCCCATTTCGCAAACTCATCCTGTGAACTGGTGTTGTTCATGTCCCGCTTCAGCTGGACAACCTCGCGCTTGAGTCGGTTTTGTTCTCTGTATTTCTTCGACGTGGAGGTCGGGACCTTTAGGTAGAGGAGCCATAGCTAGGAAGTACTCATTAGCTTTACTTCAGCCCTGGCATTTGGTGGGCGAAAGAACAGCTCAAGGCATGACAGCTAAATGGCCGCCCCCCAAGAAGCTCTCAGACATAACATACCAGATTATCAATCGTGCTAGCGCCAATGGTATTAACCAGATAGATGGCGACATGGACGAAGAAAACCGACCACAAAAGCGACAGCATGATGGGCTAGACGTCGGCTGCGATCAATTGACGGAGGGGAGGAGGGAGGGAGGGAGGGAATTGGTTCCCGGAGATGTGGGCGGAAAAGAGACCACGAAGCCCGACCGACTTGCGCGGAGAGTGGTGTGTGCGACCTGCCTCGGACAAGCAAGGTTTCCTAAGGGAAGCTCGAGGAAGGTTTAACAATGAGCAAGCAGACAAAGAGAGAGGGAAAGGCTGAGGCTGAAAGAGAAATGACATCCATGAATGAATGGAGTGAGAACAGCAAATGACGTTGTCACGTTGTTTCCCGCCCGTCGGCCGCGGCGCGGCAACTTTCATTTCCCCCCGAGCTTTAAACCATGTCCCTTTCCAACATTAACATAACGTCCGCTATTACTACGATTCGTACGCCATGCTGCAAGGCGGGTGATTCTCAATGTCTACTCCTCCGGACGGAAATGCGGCTTACAATGAACTCGCTCGAATATTCTCCGCTAGACGCAAGGATAACAACGTTCTAGAGATCGAGATACTCCCGCCTGGTCTTGGTCCACTGCTACAGGATGGGAACTCGGTCGGAATTACGAAGAAGTACCTGGTTCAAGCGTTTGTAACGGCTAGAAGAATATTCTTCGACGCTTCAAACGAGCCGTTTGATTTTCCCGATGCCGGTGGTCATGAAGACGAGCGCAAAGCTCCGCAAAACGAATCCCTGCTACAGAAACGAAGAGACGACCTGCTAAATGCCAGCGAGATTATCCTCCTCTTCGACTGTGAACACCTGACAGCATGCAGCTGGCGCAAACGACGTCTGGCTGCCTTACGCCAGCGCGCTGGCTCTGCGGACCCCGGCTATACTTCTCGGGAGATGCTCACTCGTGAATTGGACACGGAGATGTCTCTCTTGACCACCTACATTTGCTCTCCATTGCATCGTCATACGAAATCTCCGACATTGTATAACCATCGGCTATGGGTGCTGAGGCAGATGATTTCTGACGGCAGTGAAAGGTTGACAAGGCGAGAAGATGACAGGGAGATAGTGTCGAACCAAAAGGTGCTAAAGAAGGAACTGTCTGTTGTTCTCCGATCCGGAGAGCTACACCCAAAAAATTACTACGGGTTCACTTATATAAGACAGCTTCTCGACATTTTATCGAGCTGTTATGATGATCAAGGGGGCGTTGCTGCGCGTCTAGCTGCGTTGATCATACCAGAAGTGCTGGACTGGTGTATCGCACATCCCAGTGACATTTCCGGCTGGATGTTCACTTTGCGCCTACTAGACTGGGCCCGCGATGAAAAGACCAGAGCAGACAGTATTGACAGGGTATTGCGTTTCGCATTGAATGTTGGTTGGGAAGGCGAGAGCATCTGGACGTTTGTGGATTTGGCGACAAAGATGATAGGCGTAGGAGCCTCAGAAAAGGCCCAATGCAGGGCGCCGTCGAATGCATTGACATATCTGCCTTTGTCTGAGGCTGGGGCTGCAGACGGGTGGAAGGCCTGCCTGGAAAGAGCAAGGACTGCTTGGGTTGCTGGTCAGCAGGCGGGTAGCCGTATAGGTGACAGCAGCCCGAAGTAGAGATAGGGTAGACACTATGTATTATATATCAGAAGGTAAAGGTGTGTTGCACCATATGCGCCATCTTTATGCAAACTTAAACGCTGCTTGATAGAACGCCTCGCTAAATGCCATTGTCTTGTCACATGTATCTGCAACGCACACCCATTTGATAAAGCCAGCCAAGTCACATTGCAGGCCCTAACATCCGTCCCGGTATGAATTGTATCCAATTTGGGCACCCAAAAATCCCGAATGGACGTACACAAGTTGGAGGATGATTAACCAAAACCGTAGACGAGGACTATGCGATATCGATGACTTGCAGGACACCCAGATCTGGTTTGTACAAAGTGGGCGAAAATAGATAGTCTCTATTACTTCTTGGCCCCTGCAAGTGCTTCAGCTTGTTTCCGCTGATCGGCTAGAAACATCAGATAGAGAGTCAGTAAGATAGTGATCAAAAAATGGCACAAAATTAGCAGACCAAAGCCTACATACCCAACGCTTGTTTCGCTCTCATCTTATCAGCATCATTCTCCTTCTTAGCCAGTATACCACCCTTGCCGACCTCAGTCTTGGATTTCTTCGCAGCGAAAGCCTGTCAGTAACCGGAAAATTTTTTTTGCATTTTGGGCAAGAACTCACCGTTTGCGCCTTCTTTTTGAGGTTCTTCTCGCGATCCCTGTCTCTCTGGTTTCCTCGGGCCATATTGACAGTTACTGAGGTGTCACAGGTCACTGTATCGCAATATGTACTTCGTAGGTTGCCCTTTCAGAGCAAGTGGGAAGAGCGGAGGTGAAGGGAACTGAAGAGTGGCTTGTTTTGCCTCTTCGGGTTCTTGAACCGCAGCATGGAAGGTTTTCCGGCATCCCTTTTCGGTTTCTGCAGGCCGCCGAGCCGCCGCCCCCGGAATTCCCTCATTCAGTCAGTCAACTTCGGCCTTGTCGCCCAATCTCCCTGTAAAGTAGTCATCTGCCCGTCGAACAACAAATATTGACTGCATGCAGTGCTACGTAGTTCCACATATTCCTGTCAGAGAGGCAAGTTTAAGCATACATCGTACCAGACACACGGTGGCTAAGATGTAATGATGAACTCGTGCCGTTTATTCGCACATGAATATGATAGTCTTCCGCTGACTTTTACGGTACATGAGAGCACATGGAGCAGTAGCTCGGAGGGTTTGGTTGCCTGGCTGGGTACGTGACTGGCCGCCACTATTCTGGAGCGTTGGAAAGTATATAGCTTTGGGTGAATAAGAGCCGTCTGCAAATACAAGCCTGCCATAACTCAGGGCCGCTCAGCCGGCGTCCGTCCGGGCGTGAGTGGCGATGATGGCATTTATCAGACACGGATAAGGCCTGTGCATTAGAAGGTTGGTATCAATGGTATCAACTGTTTCTTAGCGTGGAATTCTTCGGCGTGCGTCCTCGTCGGTGTAGCTGTCAACGCCGACGGCGCAGTATTCTTTACCAAGCACCTTTTCCCCCCATCTTCGATGAATAGCGGCAGTGTCGTGAGTAGCAGCTTGTTTTCCGGGACCACGTTTCTTTCGTATCAGCAATCTTTTAGGAGCTTTTCCACGGTTTCGTCATCTCCGCACCACACTTGTAGGAATGATGTGGCAGACTGGGTCGGATTGAAGTATGGACCTATCGAATATTCCAGTACTTTTATAGCCCGCGTCATCTGCTGTATGGCCTCTGTCTCCTTCCCCTGACGTTTGAGGATGAGGGCCGAGAAGAACAATGTATAGCCATGGTCTGAGCCAAATATATGGAGGCAGTCCTTGATAACTTCATTTTCCAGTTCTTCGGCTCTCTGGATATTATCCCATTTCGCATATATCTCCGAAAGATCATGCTTGATTACAAGCGTGTCATAATCATGAGGGCGAGTATTCAACGCTATACTTAGCGCCTGCAGTGCCATCTGCTCCGCGTTTGGCCAGTCATTCAGCCCTGCATAGATGTCGATCAAGCTGCGTCTGCACTCCTGGGTTTCGAAATCCTCAGTACCTATATTCTCCTCGAGTAGCTGCAGGGTAGGGATCGCCAATTCTTTCGCTTCTAACCACTTCTTTTGGGCGGTATAGACATCAAGAAGAGTCTCCGCAGCAGACAGAGTCCAACAGTGTCCTGGACCATACATTATCTTCTGAGCATTCCAGTCTTTAAGAGCAAATTCTTCGGCCTCCGGCAGCCGGTTTAGCTCTAGATAGAGCTTTCCAAGGTGTCCCATGATGGTCGCCGTCAAATCATGCTCCTCTCCAAACATGGACTTTGACTCCTCTAACGCTTCCAATATCAGGCTTTCCGCCTCCGAAAACCGAAACTGCTTTCTGTAGACGCTTGCCAAATTGACCATACTGGTTAAAGTCAACTCGTTCCTTGTTCCAAGCAGCCGCTTTCTTGTTGTCATGACGAGGAAGTCCAGCTCTTCGGCCTCTGACAGTCTATTCTGACGTGAATATGTCGAGGACAGACTAGCAAGGCTTTCTAACGTTTCTGGATGTTCCATACCAAATTCCTTCTTATTCTCTTCGACAATAAGAAGGTCCAATACCTCTGCCTCGTCGCAACGTCCCTGTTCCCAAAGGTAGTAAGCAATTCCTTCTTGAAGGTATAGTCTTCTCCTCAACCAGTTCCCATGTAGCTCGGGAATATATCTCAAAACCGACATAGCATGAGGTAAATAAGCAGCGCATGTAGACCAGTTCTCGAACTTGGCGTCTGGGAAGGACTCCGCAAGCACATCCATAGCATGGATAGCTTTACCTTCATATTCATGTTCGATGATTAGCCATTTGCGCACGGTAAGTTGTACGAGCCGGTGGATGGAGAAGCTTTGACCGGTTCCATTCGCTATTATTAGCGAGAATGCCTTGAGCGTGCCTAGCGCCTTTGTCAGGTCAAGCGATTTGGTGATCCTTTGCTGAATCAGGCTTTTCGGAATGTGATGCTGATCAAGAAAAGCGATAAGAGACAGAGACTCGATGGCGTTCGGCTCTTTTGTATTGATATGATCCAGAGAAACTATCAAAGTGGTAGCAAGAGCATTTGGGGTTTCGCTGTCTCTCCCTAATGTCTCGAAGGGCTCGCACAGTAAGCCCATCCTGGTCTCATCGCTGTCATTATGCAGCTTGATGTATTCATTCACAGTGAGCACATTTTCTTCCATAAATGAAGCGGCTTGCATAATTGCCAACGGTAAATAGTCGAGCATCTCCGCGAGCTCATCCATGTCCGACTCTGTCGGATAATTGCCACTCAAAGCAGATTTGATCAAGCATCTCGATTCTTCTTTGGTCATAGTATCCACCTCGAGCATGTTTCGGCCAACACCCCTGACGAATTTGACACCAGCAGCTCGGTTACGGGTTGTAATGAGAATAGAGCCATATGGGCTTTCGGGAAGGAACTGGACGATAGAAGAATCTTCTTGCAGCTGCTTATCTGAGGTCGAGGCTCTTTGTCCTTGACGACCATCTGACGTAAAGAGTGAGGCTTCGTCAGCGTTATCGATAATCAGCAACCAGCGTTTACACTGCTTTTCTAGCCATTGCTTGACAAGCATGAGGTCTTGTGGTTTATCTTCTGGACTCTCAATCTCGCATTCCTTGATCAGATGATAATAACTTTCTTGGAACCGGTTGATACTGTTTGCGTGGATCCAGAACACCGACGCGTCGGGGTGGGCTTCATGGACTTGGTGCGCCAGCTCAATGGCTATCTGGGTTTTACTAGTTGTGTTATCAGTCAAAAGCTTCCTGGTAGAAACCGCAAAACCTACCCGACACCTCCGAGACCATACAAGGCTACTCTCGAATGAACCTTTCCGAGTGGCATGACACGCTCCATAACCTGACTTAATGTATGCTCGCGGCCGACAAACCCGGGATTACGTGTATAAGGTATCATCCCTGTCCGGTTGGTGTAAGCCGGGTTCCAATATTTCATATATGTAGTAATGCATAGGACCTACAGAAGCAAGGGTCGGCTTCATCGGCCACGAGGGTGGACTCTGATTCATCAACGCAACTGGTTAAATGGCGCGTCTCCGTCCCTGAGTTTGCCATTTCGACAATTAGCGAAGACACATATTGATATCGATCGTCTTTGTCGCAGTGAAATCTGCAAATCTCTTCATGGTCGGCATTCAATGCGATCGCTTTCTCACGGGAGTCAGGCAAGCCAAGAACAGCAGAATCTTTTTCCACAACCTAAATCGAGCAGTGTGTCTTGTTAGTGCCAACATCTAGTCAAGTCCTGGAATACTCACTATGCCGATGCTTTTGAATGGTAGGGTCTCATAAAAGCTCAGATACTTGTAGTTCTCAAGAAGCTTGTCAAAGTTCGCAGACAGCTCCAGGGCGTAAAGGCTGCCTTTTGAAAGGGCCTTCAGTAGGGTATTGCTCGCTGTTCCTAGTAGAGCCCTCACGAGCTTTGCAGCCACGCCTCCCACACGTGCCAGGTGCGTCCCTCGATGTGGCGTACCGAAGAAAACGATTCCGAAGGTCGAGGTACATATCGAGCCATACGTTGCGCTGAGTTTAGCTTGTACAAGCGCCTGGCATTGAACCATAAGAGACAGCCCAGAAACAACTTCTAGCTGAGAAGCTTCATACCTCTTTGACAACAATCCCTCCCAGGCTATGGGCAATGAAAAGCAGGGGTCGATGTTCGCACTTCTGCAGGCAATGTAAGCTTCTTTGACAGATCCAGTGGTACATCTGCTGTTGATTACCTCTCTTTCCAGTCTTAAGCGGTCAAGGAGGACATGTGCCTGCTCTCGCACTCCAGCTGCGGATGACTGGATTGCAACTTTAGAGTTATAACTGAAAAGGAAAATCCTGGCTCGTGGCAGTTGCTGGGGAAGAAAATCCCTGAGCCAAAGCTTCCCATTCGACTCCCAAGTCTTCTCGGCATGGTTCTTTTTGCTTTTAGGATTGAGTCCATGGACAGCGACAATGCTACTATCGATTAGCAAGCGGACATGGTGCCGTTGAAATGACTTACTCGATATTGGGATCTGCACCGGCGGACAATATACGCAAATAATACTCGCCCTAAAATTCTGTTAAACCTTCTTCTATAGGCCTTCAAACAAAGACCCTACCATCATGGTATCAATTTTGCTCTTTCACTGGGCTCGATTTACTACCAACCCTTCCTGGGTGGTGAATTGTTGCGTTGCCCTTCATAATTCGGAATGTTCCTTAAGGCTCGGGGCCTCCCCTCATTAAGGCCGTTGCGACCTTCATTAACTAATCAATGCGAGGTGCTGCGCCTTGTATGTTCAACTTGTCAAGGGGGTACCGTGGGCGGCTGTGTTGCTAGCTTGATTGGACAAAGACATGTAGCGTCCAACATCCCTGTAGATCTGCTCTTTTAGCACGTTGCGTGTATGAGCACCGGGGCAGAACACTTAACACATACTGTAGGTCTTTCAAGGCCCCCACACAAGGCTCCTGAATATTTGATCTATAGATCATCTTCAAAGTCATTGTATCCGTAAATTTTGTAGAGGAGAGTGGGTGTAGATGCTCGAAAGTATGGCAGAGATGCAACGAATAGGAAGGAAGGACTAAGTGGAAGGAAGGCACTAACTAGTATTAGCGTCGTTTTGGAGAGGACGGCTGCAACTAAACACCCCAAACACCGACCACTCCATTCGACTTATTTGTCTATAAGCCGAGATACCCGGAGCGGGCGCAGTCTGGCTACAATTGTTCTCGTAGCAAGCGCTTACATAGTGCATTTCTATAAATATTGTGGGAAGTACTGGTGGCAACCGAACCAGTAACACCTCGGCGCTAGTCTTGCTCTGCCACGCTTGAACACAGGCATTTCCCGTCCTTGTCTATTAGTAGATAGTATAGTATGATAGTAGCACCACCAAATCTGTGAAGCGGTGGATGCTAAAAGAGCAATTTTTGGTGGGCTGAAACCTGACAGTCCACTCACTTCTCTGGTTCAGCTTCTATCTTTATTCCTCGATGTTACTGGGTACGCGAAGTGATAGCTAATCCTGAGTGGAGGATCCTAAGCGCTCTGTATTCGTGTAGGCTTTTGACTCGGGAGGGATCCATCAGGAAGTCCAAGGCAAGAGAAACACTGATCGAGTCAGGGACCTGAAAAAGGGCAAATGCCGCCGAAGTAGGTAACGGGTGTTTCTAAGGACCAGAATGAATGGCTATTGTTCATTCAACATCGTGTCGAAAGTGTTTCAGCCTCAGGTTCGCGCCTATTGTGTCTATTCTCGTCTTTGTTGGGCATTTCAGTCCCGCTCAACCAGAATACTGTCTGGCATTTGTAGGTCTGACAGATAATAACTTCTTCTGGCTGTTCTTCATCCTCTCGTTCACTCTTTGGGTCCGCGTTCTTTCTTTAACTCGCGAGTTGACCTCGTGGTTCTTTCTTTCCTTGCCCATAAGCCATATCAATTAGCACTTTGCTGCTGGTCAGTCCCTACTACTCATTCCTTTCAATTTACAAGTTTTTGTTGCAGAGTATAAAGGTGCATCACAATCAGAACGGATATCCAAACTCGATAATTTCTTAAGACACAATCACCTAATTTCATACTGGTCACCAAAAGTTCAAGCTTTCGGGCAGCTGAGCCGTTGATCTAACACCAAAATCATGATGGCTTCGTTGAAAGAATCCCTGGCTGGCCCAGGATACGTAATTCTCAACGCCATTCGTGTCATCAACATCATTGTATTTCTGGACATCATTGCTGCCAGTGTGGTCATGCTGGTCAACATTGACTTGTTGACAGCGTTTTTCTTTTTCGAGGCTGTCTCTCACGTCGCCACTGCAGGCGTTAGTAGTAAGTAGCCTTTGCTCCAGATACTGTACTAGATGGCTAACAGTTTGACTTAACAGTATTCCTCATCATCTCCGAGCTTCCCTTTCTCCGCGGTTACTTCGACCGTAACTGGCCATTATTGGGGCAGAACTCTGGGTTCATCACTTTGGCAATAGCAATGCTGATACTGGGAGTTGGAGTGTTGGGAGACCTAAACACGAACGCCACCAGCCAGGAATCTCTCGGGATGGCATTCTGGAGGATTGTACTCTCTGCTGGCATTCTAGCCATGATCATGAGCGTGATCAATGTGATTGCGGTAAGTCGAACTTCGGGTTTAGTGAGCGTAACGCTGATAGCATGGAATACACAGAGCTTTATCTTCGCCGATAGCGATCTTGGTGTCAGTGCACGACATGTGCGGGTCTATGGAGCAGTGGCACCCCAGAAAGTGATGTCGCGAAATGGCAGCCAACGTTCATTTCAGCTAAGTATGAAGAGAGAGGAAACTTTGCCGACCTACAGTCCTCAAAGCTCGTTGAAAAGGCAGATGTCTATGCGACACACGCGATTCCCTTTGAAGATATCTTCGCCGGTCAATCCTATCAACATAAATGATGCGGCGTCATCGAAGTACTCGAGGGACTCCGCAGGAATGACTATTCCCGATCTTGCTCATCACCCGGCAATGCAGTCATCGCATGTCTAAGGAAATAAACCGAGACAGAGTGCATTTGCGGCGACACGACAAGGAGTTCAGATGCGGGGACATTATTTACGTTGGCGTTGACAGTATGGCAATTAGCGAGCATAGGCAATGGGGACGTCTTTATTTTCGGGGTTTGCATTTTTCTATGTGCAATATCAGTCGTTTAATCATGTTTCATTTTACCACCAACAATTGATTGAAATCAAGTCTTATTAAAAAACTGAGTTGACGATCTTCTCCATACGCCGTAAAACCAGATCGGAAGTTTATTGTTCTGAGCGGTGTCCCTGATCCGCGTGCCTGACCAGTAAGAAAACATGCTTTAGCGCCCACCGGCGATAAGATAAGCCCTCTTGAGGCCAACTTCCGCTTCTTGTACCGTTCTGAATCTGGATATCCCATTACCACTGAACTGCAATGCGCCATCGCCATTCTCCGCAAATATGGGCGAAATAACAATCTCATTCTCAACGTACGCACTCGTACTACCAGTATCCCTCATTCAGACCTATCACTAACCTCTGCACCTCCCTCATCAGGATCAAATCCGTCCTCATCTTCTTCGCGCCCATCATCATCCCCCGAGCCATCAACTACTACCGCACCCTCCGCGTCGCCCTCTCCAGCCGCCCACCACCACGTCCTCTTCCCCAAGATGCCAGTCGAGCCTTGAACGTCCTATTCCTCACCATAACCCTCTTCTTCTGCCTCAGCCTGCCCTTTAACCCACACGCGCCCAGTCCCAGCATCTTCACCCTCACCAACTCCCGCCTCACCACATCAACAGACATTATCTTCTCGCGCCTCGCGCGTCTCCGCCCCAATGAATCCCTCACCCCATTCGACACTCTCCTCAAATCCAAACTCACCTCCACCCTCGCCCGCAAGGTATACCTCCGCTTCGGCCCGGAAACCCTAACCAACTGCGCCTTCTGCTCCCTCGACAATTTGACCACCTACGCCATCTACCACCTCCCCTTCAACGTCCTCCTCCCTCACCTCTTCCACATGGCTACAATCGGCCTCATAACCTCCTCGACTTTCGCCGGCTCGGACGCAAGCAAATGGCGCAAGGAATTCTCCATCATGGGAATTGCATTCACTCTCCTAGACATCTACGTGGTCATGTCCTACGACCCGATGGCGTACGCGTCCGCGGCTGTGCGCGCAGGCGTAGCAGTTCCATCTAGCTCATACTACCAAATCGGTCTCTTGCGTCCGCTGCTATTCGCTTTCTTTGACGGGGTATGCGCTCTGCTGATTTGGCTCTCCGCTACACGGAGATTCTTCTTCACTCCGCCGTCGCAGGCAGAACAGGTCGATCAGGTTGTGTCTGCGTCGTTGGGGGCGCTTTCGGGATCTACGTCGAAGTTGCATGCTGTGAGTGTGGCGAGGAATGCGGTCGTCCGGGATAAGATGCTTAGGGATCGGGATGAGGCGTATTGGCGTACGGTGGTTGCTATGAATGTGGATAATCCGGCCATGAAGGCGGGTACGGTTGTCGGTGGGGGAGAAAATGGTGATGAGGAGGGTGCTGTGCCGCCTACGTCGATTTGGGAAGAGGAGGAAGTCGTCCGCGCGATGTCTCGGGCCATGGCCGGTCAGGGGGGTGTTGATTTGGCGAGGTTAGGGATGGATGCGGCGGAGTATGTTAATGGTGTTACGGCTGGGTTGGAGGGGAATTGATAGAGTAGATTAGAGTGTAGTTAGCTGTTTTGAGTTATGTATATTGTATGTATGTTTGAGAAACTTAGCATGTAGATATCTATCTATCTATCTACCCAGTTACTCCTGTCTTTAGTTGCTAGAGCGTAGAGTGAGACGTGACCACACCCGCATCCATATACTACCAGTGACCCTGCCACAGCACCATACCACACAAACGTAGCAAACAATAGCCACTACTAACTAACTACTAACCCAGCTGCGAAAGCAGCTCCAATTTCCGAGTCAAACACATCAATATAGTATCGTCTAAACAACAACGTCAAAGCTACTAACCCCCGAAACGGTCAATCCCATCCAGAAGCCAATTAGCTCACAATTAACTAACTAGTAACTAGCTAATTAAACATGTAGTAAAGACTTAGGCTGACGCATAACCACCTGCGGTGAAAGAAAGAAACAAAACCACCGATGCAGCACAGCCCAGCCCTGCTTTGCCCCCCGATCCCGGAACAAGAACTACGAGCTAAGCTAAGCTACACAAAGCATCGAAGTAGCGGTTCTCGGGGCGCGCGGACGGACATATCTCACTAGTAACTAGTCGAGATCGGTCCACGAAAGCGAGACATAGACCAACTCCTAACCTTGGTTTGGAACACTTTAGGCAACATTTTTTCCGCTTGAGATGGATGATGGATGAATGCACTGCCACACCCGTACTCCATAATCCACTCCATAACGGGAGTGCCACAAAGCATGGACCAGTCATGTCGGCGATTGCGGAGACGGGCTAGTATCTACACGGTCAAAGGGTAACTAACTGCTAAGCAAGTGGACTAGTAGGATGATCAGCTAGGCTACTGTGTAAGTAGGTTTTGTTGTTGTTGTTGTTGCTCCAAACGGGTGAGATTTTAGTTTTAGCTCATCGGCCCAGCGA